ATTCTGGGAGTTGAAGTCCACTCATCTTAAAGTGGCCAAGTTTGGACAACACTGTCTTAGGCAGAGCTCCATGTTTTCCTACACTAAGCTCTGACTCTGTCCTGGCTGAGCAGCAAAGTTTTGCTTTAAGAGCCTTTTTCTCTTTCCATTACTGCTCCAACAGAATTAAGTTAGATTATCTGAGAAGGACCAAGCTTTCTGAAAACAGATAACTTGCACTTATTTGCCTAATTTACACATCACACTAAGCCATAGGTTGTTCATTTGTGGTTCATTGAACAAATCTTTGTCTTATTCACAGAAGGTATTAAGCCAAAAGCAGAGAAACCACTTTGGGGCTTGGCAGTATGAAACTAGCCATTTACTAACATAGATTTTAAATATACTATGTGCGCCTTTGGCTGTAGGGCCAATTCAGGCCTTGTGGTATGAGGTTATCATGCACTGGAGTGTGGAAAAGCAAGCCTTTGGGTCACCTGTTTCCTTTGTGAAAATGTGGGGGGATTCCTGCCAATCAAGGTAGACAAAAAAAGGGGGAAAGTCAATCTGTGCTCTTACCAACATGGCCTCTCTTCTTGCCTTTCTCATTTCCTTCCTACGCTGGTGGGCCTCTTCAGCATCAGAACGTTCCCTTATGGAGTCTGCCTGTAACGTATGAATGCTAAAGCCCAGTGCAAAGCAGTCAAAGCAACCTTTGAAACGATAGGGGTTGTATTAACCTGTGATTGAAGGAAATCTTTTCTGCTCTGCTCTCTTTAATATGAGGGTCTTGACATCCACATAACTAATAATTTGTCTCTGTTTCTCACAGTGGTCTGGTGTTCAAATTTGGTCGCACTGAAGATTTGTGGCAATAAGCGACGCAGAGCGTCTCACCCGCTATTTTTAATTGCCCATTTTGTAATACTAGTGCTCTGCTATCAGCAAAGAAGGAAACTGCCTACATTTTAAAATCATGATACACATTTCCATTTTTGTTCCCTTCAACTTGACACTTTTCTACTCTTGGCTTTTTGACATTAAATATTGTAGCCTGTGATTAAGCTGAGATGGAAGAGGAACTCTGTCCTCTTACTGAATGTTTTTGTTATACCTTAATATTAATGATTCTTTTACTGTTCCTTTATCTGGGGTGGATATAAGTGCTATTTTTTTTAATGTGAAAATACTGGACTGACAGTGTACATGGAATGCTTGTAAATGAAGATTATTACTTCTGTGCATAAAAATGTAATAGAGATATACTGGTACCATGTTTCTAATGCAACTTTCTGTCTTGGAGTTTTTCTTGCAAAGTTTTTGAATTCCAGCAACAGCAAATCCATAATGGAAGACTAGCTTCTTTCAGATACACTCCGTCCTTGCCCAGTGTAGTTTTCCAACACAGCTGGGGGTTGCTATTTGCAGAAGACTGTCTGAGAAGTGTCCCATACACCCTTCTGACTTTGCAGGGAAGTCAAAGGGAATCAGTAGTCTTGTTTGTCAGTTGGGTTAACTAAGGTTTGTTTATCAAAACACTGTTGACACAGGATGCTAAGCCAAACCTAAACTAACCATATGATGGCTTAGTGTAATGTATGAACTTAATCATCATGAAAACCACCGTATATAAACACAGAATGGTATGACTGGACTCAGTTTCACATTTAATATTTCATTTTCATTTCCCCCTCACATTCTTTAAGCATTTTAAAAGGCTAGAATGTAAAAGGCACCTTTTTTAAAAGAAGCACTAACATCTTTATTTTAGCCTTACAAGCAAGTATTTTATACTAAATGCCTACCAAATATTCTGGCAATTTTAATAAAGCAGATAAGTCTCTTTTTCATGCATTCTTGTGGCATCAGAGAGGAAGTCTCTTAGCTGTGTAGCTTGCTGCCCTCTTGAAGGTTGTGTTCAGAATCCAACAGCTAAGTGGGGGAACTAGATATAAGAAAAATAAGATTTTTTTAAAAAATCTTGTTTTCTAACTCAATAATGCACTCTTAAATACAACTAATTAGGATGGGCCCCTTGCTTTAAATGTAGCTTATAACAAAACAGTTTACAACCACAGACACCTAGAAGTCTGCATGACCAAGTACACCATTGAGAATATGAGCTACAATGCCCTTTGGATATAAAATCACTTTTAAAGTGGTAATAGTTTTTTTGCTTTTGAAAGAATGCCTGAACAACTTCAGGTTATTTCTACTTCTTGCCATAGAATCTTTCCAACAGACAAAGCATAATCTTTTACACTGAGCACTCTTCTGTTGGTGAAAGCACACACAAGGTTTTAATCAGTCACAATAAAGGTTTTACCTACAGTGGAGAGTCAGTTCTGCAGAAGCGTGGGACATAAATGGACCTTGCCTGCTTAACCAAAACTACTGAATGACCCTAAGTGGCTGATTCACATGGTTAACCATAGGCTGTAGCTTATAACCAAAATACCTAAGTTTCTACAACACGTTAAGACCAAACTCGGCAAATTACATTCATATGTGATCTATGATTCTAGGTCAGAAGTAGGGTGGTTGTAATATATTCATACTACATATATTCATCAGTAAGAAAAGTTTGATTCTGAACCTTTTAACATGGTAGGGTTCAGCATGACCAGCATGGTTGGTTTGACCATGATTATTGATCGAATCTGCATAACACACTAAGTCAAAACCAAACACCATCGTGTTACAGTTTTGATAACTTGGATCTAGCAGTTCCAGGGATTTATTTCTCTTTTTCTGGCTTTAACTGAAGGATATTGTATGAGTAAAATAGCCCAAATCCTAAGACATTCAGCTCAGTGTAACCCCAGCTGTCAAGAAGTAAAAAGGAATAAGAAGATCTTTATGTAAAGCTAACCTTGCGGGTCCCAACCTTTACAGGACACAAAACTACTATAAAATGTCATCCTACCTCCCAATAAGCTTGATCATCAAAATACTTTGTTACTGGAGGTGCTTTCCATAATTTGCAAGTTAAAATGAGACCTATAAAAAACAAGTTGAAACCAGACCTGCATTGAAAATCTGAAAGTTTGCAGAAAGTTTCTAGAGTTTATCCCTAAGTTAATGATAAATCGCTTCATTTTGGATCTCTTAGCTTACATCTAATTCTACATCTCCAATTGCCGGTTGATACGTCCCCTGCTAAATCTCCCCTGCTTCATCTCGTTTTCCCATTTGTCCAAAGCTGAGCTGTAGTTCTTTTCTCCCAAATTGTCTTCTAATCCATGAGCATTGGTGACCCTCAGATCCCACCAAAAGTTGCCATCAACTTGAATTGCTAATGTAACAGGAGAGCAAATTATTAAATACATTGTAGATAATTGTATTAATTGTATTTTATTTACTTTTAATTCAATTTCAACAAATTAAAACTGGACTACCACAACATTCCCCCAGCCATTTTTCTTAGCTCTGTACAATAGCCTTTTATAAAATTAGCATGATTTCTGCCAAGATACTGATACAGATCTGTAAATATATGGCAGGATTTGAATTGTGAAATGCTGTATGTGTGCTAAGTTCCCTACACAAATATTCAGTTGTGCAAAACCTGGTATATGAATTACCCCATTTTGTAAAAACTCAGGCTTTCTAGTCCTCATTATAAGGAATGGTGAAAACCTACAAGAGATCTGTCCGCTGGATATTCAGGAACCAGTATAGGATGGAAGCAATGTTACTCTCTCCCCCACTACATCTGACAAACTTCCACATGTTTTAGAAATTCAGCTCCTTTTATCAGAAAGAATCTGATCTATATTAGCTTCACTGAATTCAGACTTTAATACAAGTTTTAGAGAAGTGATTTGATCTCATCTTGGAGGACAGTTGCAGACCCAAAACACTTATTATTGATGATACAATGAAGTGGTTTTGTGATACAGACCTGTAATAAAACCACTGAACAGACTGATGACTAGGCTCAAGCTGAGTGCACCAACTTCAATTAAAGCTGAATAACCAAATCTGTAAATGATCATGAAGACAGAGAAGCATTCAAAAATCCAGTAAAAGAAGAAAAAAAAAACAGCTTCTGCTTTCTAAATAGTGACTTCTTGTAGTCCTTACAAACTATTTCGTAGTTTGCAAACTTTCCCTCTTGAGGACACTATTTCATACCTCCTGCTTACTAGGTATGGAACATCCAGGAGCTCTACAAGGTCTTGACTATGATTATTAATGTTTCCCTAGACCTGCTTGAACTGTTTCCTAAAATATGCCTAACTCTACTGTAGGTGTGCAAGGATCAAGGACAGCAGTCATAGTGGATCAGCTATCTTTTAGGGAAAATTGAAAATAAAATAATGTCAGACAACAAGAACATCATACGTACTTCCAAATCACTTTAAAGTTTTCCGAAACTTTACACTAGATCTAGGTTTGTGAGATAGGGTGATTGAGTCAAAGTCTCCTAATGATTTCCATGGCTGAGCATGAATTTGCACATGGGTCTTTCCAGATCGATCCAACATTTCAACAAGAATAAAATCCAAACTGATGACTATATGATATGTAATTGACTCTGATATTAACCAAAGATACTAACCCTAACCAAAATTAATCGAGGGTAATAAAAACCGACAGATTCAACTTACACTGAGAGGTTATTGCTGTGGTTTGTTAGGATTACAATAATGTGGATTATCCCTCCAAGCAAACTGGGTAAGCCAAAAGTGTAATGAACTCCACAGGTATCATGGATTTTGAGTGCTGGATCCAAGTGTTTCTGAGTTTGATCGGAAGAAGAAGGTAGAAAAAGCAACACACCATAAGGCTTTTGCATGATAAATTATAAGTAATCTCTTTTGTGTTTATGTATAAACGTATAGTCCACCCTTGCATTAATTTTTAACAGTCCCAAAGCAGGGCTTGAAACAGGATTGTCTGCATGCCACTCGCCACGTGTGGGATTCAGAGGCCTTGGCCACATGGAGCATGTGAGCATCTTCATAACTCTGGGAAAGACTAGCACATATCCAAGACTGCTGTTCCCCAAGAAGCCTGGGACTCTAGTTCTGGTTCTATCCCAGTTCTAAAGTTCTAAAGCATCCCAGTTGCTTGTTCCATAACCAGCAATGAAAAGGTTTAAAACGGGGAGGGTTACCTGTAAACAGGCCATGCCAAGGACAGAGATCATGCCCGCCGCCAGACCCAAAGCCATTGCAATCCAAGGCTGTTGGATGATGGAAGCAGAGAAACTGAGGGCAACCCCACCTGCCAGTGTAGCATTCTGGATGTGAGCCTGGGGAACAAGTGAAAAAAGAAATCAAAGCCTGGGTTAAGTTGGGTAGCCACTTCCTGTTGATAGAAGGCAGAGTAGCGTGGGGGTGTCTTGAACCAGGATTTTGTGTGCTTGTAATATTTATCTCTTGCCTTTCAAGGAGGTCAAGGTTGTGGATATGGGGTCTCCCTTATCTTTGTGAAGGCATGTAGACCTGGTCTTGGGAATGGGGAAGGAATGAACGAACCTTTAAGGGGAGGGGACTTTGAGAAAAGATAATACAGTCCTGAGAAAGAGGAAAGGGTGAGAAAGAAACTCAAAATAATTCCACCTTGATTTCACTTGGTATAAGTTTGGGGAGACAAAAACTTGTTCAGGCTTTCAAGATTCTATTACTAGACTACAACAGTAATGTAACATTCCTAGAATCGGTACAGTATCCATTTCTTGACCTGGCCAACTTGAAGGACTGATGGTGTAAGATAGGGAAGGGAGAAACACTGAGAAGCAGACACTGCAGGGATTCCAAAAATGCTCTTTATTGTAGTAAAGCAGAATAACAGCATCTTGAAAGCCTGAACAAGTTTCTCTCTGCCTCATCTTATACCAGACAAAATCAAGGTGGGGTATATTTCACACACTTCTCTGTTTCTTAGGATTGAGTAATTTTATTCTGAAAGTCCCCCCTTTAACAGCCTGCTCTTTCCTTCTCTGTTCCCAAGGCCAGATCTCATTCCTTCACATACAGTTTTATACCTACAACAAACACTGTGGGAAGTAGGTTGGGCGAGAAAAGGACTGGCCCAAAGTTACCCATGGAAGCTCCATGTAGAGTAGGAACTTGGCTCTGGTTCTCCCCAATACAAACCCAACAGAGTTTTATTATGAGCCTGGCATGGAAAGGTTCTAGAAAAACATTAGCTCAGTGTTTCTCAACCTTGACAACTTTAAGTTGTGTGGACTTCAACTCCCAGAATTCCCCAGCTAGTGTTAGTTTGTCTGAGCATGCTGTCAGCTCTGCTCCTTCCACCCCCTTAATGTCCAGTCACTGCCATAGAAACATCTAGCCTCACTCATTCTAAACCAATGTTGTGCAACCCGGTCCCCACCAGACCTCCTGGGACTGCAACTTCTTGCCCCGACATCTGGAGGGTCACAGGATCAAGAATGTTGCTGTTCTGGTTGAGAAAACAGGTGCTTCTGTCTCACCATGCTGAGTTTTCCGTTTTTGTTGGTTGCCGCTGAGAATGAAAAAGCAGCAATGACGCTTGTGGCCATCACAAAGTAGGTGTTGTAAATGGCAGTCCATTTCTTTTCTTCTTCCTTGATTAGGACAGAATTGAAGCTGGGCCAGAATATCCAGAGAAAGAGAGTACCTGGTAAACCACAGGAGGGGCAGAATGTTACCTCTCAAGTCCAACAGAGCCCCATTCTTCAGCATTGTGGGAGGAGAGCCACTGCTAGTCTATAGCAGCAAAAGATCAGGAGTCTGGGAGCACTTCCCTGGATAACTAAATAATAGCTTCTGTGAACTGCAGCCTTTTAATAAAAGTTGTTAGTCGACAAAAGTGCAGGCACTCCTCCCAGTTTTCAGTCTCTTTCAGCCTGATGACCTCACTACCACCACCATCAGCCTGTTTGAAAAATGGCTATCCTTGGGCTAAGAAAGCTTATGGGTTCCATTTGGGGCTCAGGAGCATCCTTGGACATTAAGGTGAGGCCAGAAGCTGATTTTTTTCCTGCAGTGTGTCACTTTCCTTTTTTAAGATTATTATTATGTTCTTGAAGAACAAGCTGGGGACCAAGGCTGTAGAAATTTTCATAAGGAGACTTCTTTATGCACAATTTTGGAAAACCCAGACACTACCAACAATACAAGAATGGTTGTTAAAACTTTCTTTTACTTTATCTCACTTTTTCTTTTCCTTTTCTTTATAATTTGTATTTTCAATTTTCTTTTTCATTTCTAACTTTTAACTTTGTAACTTTAAAATTTCAATAAAATATTATAAAAAAAAAGAAATTTTCATAAGGACAGCTGAACTGGGCCATTTTCATTTCTCAGTGCTGCTTCGTTTACCCATTTTAAAGTCCTTCTGTCCCAGACCTGTATTAGTGTGCAACTAAAAAAAATATTCTTCACTTCACAAAATCCAGAGTCCGAAATGCTGAATATATGTATTTTTGCATGTAGATCTGCAAATCTGAGGGCGAGGGAGGTATAATGGACAAGGGGTGACAAGGGGGTATGCAATTTTTCCTAATGCAGCGTTGTTTCTATAGAAATTATGGAATTGATAGTGCAAGCCTCCCTGAAGGTGTCAGGCTGGGGACCACTGCCTCCAACCCCCATTTTAAAGCTACAGAACAAAACCGTGTGACAAAAACTACCCATTTTCAACAGTATATATTTGTTTACTTCCCTCCTGTACAAAGATGCTTTTTAATTGCTATGTTATACTTTCACACCAATGAAGTGTTTTTAAAATTCTGGTAGACCTTAAAGAAGCAGAGAGAAAAATGGGGAAGATGTAGTGACATAATCATGTTAGTGAGCCCACCCCTTCAGGCCCTTGGAGGCAAAGTAAATTTTTAAAGGTATGGGCCATAAGCTGAGAAAATGGGAAAGACCGTGGGCCTTAGACCCACAGGGAACTAATGTAGCCAAGTGAACTAGGCACCTTTAATTTTCTTTTCAGAATGTCTTTAAAAGAAATCCATTTGGAGGCATCAAATTCAGTTCAGTGATTCGGTCTGAATTGCTGATCCAACCTGGAAAGCTGGTTCTATTTGGAGATTTGACGGACTCATCTTTCAGCTGAATCTTTGAAGTGAAGGTCAGTCCAAGGAAGACATAAACCCACTCTCTTTTTCTACACGGTTGGGCTGGCCCACTCAATACTGCCTCCTATTGATAAGGCCTAGCATAATGCACCACGCCTGCAAAGAGTGGTGAGACCCAAGCAGATCTATCTTCTCAAACAGCAAGAAATCAAACCAACTTTACCATGGCCATTCCATTGTAACTTCTCGAAAGACATGGTCCAATTTCTCCAAAGACATGGACCAAAAGGGAGTGTCTGATTTTATAAGGAAGGGAGGCATGCAGTTCAGGAATATGTAATTTTATAAAGCCTGTGGCTTGCTCCTTGATATCATGGTACTTCTCCCTAGCAATTCTTCCCTGTGCATCTGGAATATGGCAAACAAACTTCCAGGGTTAAAACTGGCAGCTTTGGGTTGCAGAAGTCTAAGATGGCCACTAGATGGCACCAAACCCTTAAGGTTTTCCGCATCTCTTTGCCTCCATCTAACGGACTGCTGGATATTTTGCAGCCCAGATCTGGTAGCCCTAGTATTATTGTCCCATCTTTGGGAACTTCCCTTCTTTTAATCTATGCTGAACATTTGATCTATCATTCATAGTACGTAGCAGAACAAGCACTCGCTCAAGGAGCTATGTAACCCAATCTCCCCTTGCAATATTATGTTTGAAAAGAAATAACAGGTGCAAGTTGCTTATAATTTATGGCAGACACGGAGGATCGCCTGCTTTAAGTCTGGAATTTACCCTGGCAAAGAGTAGACTGTTCTATCACCTACCCCTCTATCAACCAGGAATCAGAATAAATGTTTCAAAAGGCGCCTCTGGAAAGGCTGATACCACTATTTCATACAGCCCTTTTTCCTCTTTTCGCTTGTTCTTCTACCCTGGTTGTTCTTAAGTCTTCTAAATTTTGGACTACTAGCATTACTTCCTAAAGGTCTCCAGGAAATGTTGATTGCTTTGGATAAATGAAAACCAAGCACAAAAATAATCATGGCATGTCAGTGAAGCAATGAATTAAGATTCATTGGACTGGTGCAACCTTCCTTAACCTGGCTTCCTTCAGGTGTATTGGACTAAAAGCGCTGTCATTCCTGGCCAACACCCATGCTAGCTGAGGAGAAGGATTAGAACAATCCAAAGGGCACCACATTGGTGAAGATTAGCATAAAGCCTCCTTTTGAATCAGGATCACATGTCTGAAAGGGATCTGAAAGTTGACCTGATACTTGTTGCCGCCTAAGAATCTCTATTCTAGGGAAGAGTGGAGAAGCTGCTTGAGGGGTTTCCATGGGAGGCTGGATTAGAGAAACCATTGGTTGATCCAGTAGAACTCTTTTGACCACCCATTTGGCCCAAGAAATGTTAGCCTGCAGAGTACAGAAATTAAGAGAGTTCAATCTCAGTGCATTTGGAGGATGGCAGCTTGAGGAAAGTTGATATTTTTTTATTTATTTATTTATTAAATCAATTTATATAGCCACCCATCTTACCACAGGTGACTCTGGGCAGCATGTAGGTGGATTAACTGGTGTCCCTCAACTGGTGTTCTCTAGGTGCTGAGATTACAATCCCCAGAATTCCTAGTCAGATTGGTCAACATAGTCCTAGACAGTTGGAAAGTACCAAGTTAGGAATGGCTAGTAGAGTAAAAAACTGGAACAGATCACTTTCCCATATAAATAAAAAACTGACAGTTTTTTTTACACAGGAAACCATGTTTTGATCAACCACAAAGGGTGACTTTACACATCACACTATGCCACACCATTACTTACAACCCTGAGATATTATTCCAAAGCCAAACCACCCAGCTTAATACACTATATAAACCCTCTCCTTTACTTGAAGCAACATTTGACTTAAATTAAGCCCTCTATGTTAACTACAGGTTGTCCTCACTTACCAACCACTCATTCAGTGACCATTTCAAGTTGCAATGGCACTGAATGAGGGGAACTTACAACTGGTCCTCGAAGTTCCAGCTGTCACAGTACCCCCACAGTTACGTGATTGCAATTTGCAACCTTACCTACCAGCTTCCCACAAGCAAAGTCAATGGGGAAGCTGGCAGGGAAGGTCGCAAGTTGCTTTGGTAAATCCCCTCAGCTTCCCTGCGCTCATGCCACCTTCAGAAAGGGACATTTTCAGTTAACGCTGCAAGGCTGATGCAAAAATGTCAGTTAATCATAAACTGCACACAAGATCCAGTGCTGCTGATGCCTGTTGGATGGGTGTTCCCTATACTTGACCTTCTAGGAAGAAGGAACTGTGTTTATCTCTCCAAGCAGAAAGCAATGCTTCAGAGCTCTTTCTAAGATACGTTGCTCAGAGCGAAGTCATCATCCTCCCGAGACAGGGCTCTCTGCCAGAATGTCAATAAATATCAACAGAGCAGGGCTCAGTTTTACAATTCCATTGGCATTCTCTTTCATGATCTGTCCATTTATCTGTTACTGTATTTGCATAGCATGCTAACCCTTAATTAAAGGAACCACGGACAGGGGTATCCACACGGTAGGGTCAGAAAAGTCAAGATGACCACAACGGTGCGATTAAAGCTCCACCATTTTTTTATGTGTGTCCTGTGCAACACACATAAAAACAGGAAGAATTTTGATTGCACTGTTGTGGCTGCCATTTTGACTTTTCTGACCAGGCCCTGCAGACATCTCTGATGGATTTAGTAACAATCTACAGAAATAACTGATGCTAGGCCCATTCAGAAGCCCTTTTACACCTGCTAAATTATCTAGCCAATATTGTATGGCTGCTTCACAGGACAGCCTTTTCATCTGCCAGACTGAATGCTCTGCCTTCGACATTGGAAGGGAGAGTCAGTAACAGAGCACTGGCAGGGGATAGGCTGAAGGAATGTGGGATGTTCACTCTGGAGAAAAGACAATGGTTTGAACACATGATAACCATGTTCAGGTACATAAAGAGAAGCTACTGGGAAGAGGGCCAACTCTTTTCAATGGCCATAGAAACTAGGACCAGAAGTAACAGGCATGTATAAGTTTCAACTACCTAGATCTTCCTGATGGTAAGATACATACAATGGTAGAAAATCTGTCTACAGAGATTGTGGGTTCTCCATCTCTGGCGATTTTTAAGAAGTGTTTGGACAGCCACCTTTCCAGAATGGTTTAATTGGTTTTCGTACACTCTGCAGAGGGTTGGATTAGATAACCCTTGTGGTTCTTTCTAACTCTCCAGTTCTCTGATTCAATGAAGAACATTTGTACCCATTTTCGTTTTCTAAGTGTGCCTATGTGGGACCCATCTACATTTTGAGAAATAATGTATACACACTTTGTTTTACAGCATGCCCCTTCCCTTTTCATATTACTATTGTATTTCCTTTTTAAGTCAGGATAATGCTTGGATAGTGGCCCTTAGTCTTTGCAAACCCCTTGGTTTCCACAAGCACCCTCCTGAGGATCCAAGCACCAGGGAAATCTCAACTCTGAAAAGTGGGTCTGAATCCAGATTGGAACAGATCTAATTTCCTCCAGGAAAGCTGGGAACTGAGTCACCATTACTATCAATACACCTCTCTGGGTTAGCAGTTAAATTGCCAGCGTCATGCTGAAATAAGAGACAAAAATCAAATGTCAACTGCTGAGCAATATATCCTACGCTGGATGCCATACATTTTGCCAACATGGGAACCTCCTAATTTGGTGGGGATACATTATTTTCAGCCCTGGGAAAAACACCATTTGACCTTTTCTCCTGCCCAAAGCAAACGGCTTACCCAGCACCGCAAACATATTCGAGACGGGCCTGGATCTTTCTTTCTCAGCTTTCTGGCTCAGTGAGGAGTGGTGGAGCATCCAGGAGACCATTAAGCCAAAGTAGGCCCCAAATAAGTGGGCGTGCATCACACTGACATGGCTCTGAATCTGTGGGCAACAAAAGCAGTCGCCATTTCCGATGGAGTCAAGGTGGAGAGTAGTTCTATGCGCCAGCATGTCGTGACTGAACTTAAGGGAGGAAAGCCTCTAAAGGGGTGATTAATCTTTCTTTGCTGGAATTGCTCCCCTGGGCATTTTAAATTCATTCTCTACTCTAATGGCCTCTGCTGGCAGGCTGCTCCCTCCTAAGCATTAATTCACCCTAAATAGGACTCCATGAAGCTCACCAGTTTATCAGCCAGCACATCTATGGCAGTCCCATGTAGAATTTGACAGTGATGGTGAGATTGGCTAGTACAGCACTGATGGCACTGCAAAACGTGGAACGAATTCTGCTTTTCTGCAGAGTTTACTCTGAATCAAGTCTCCGCCTGAAGAATTTCTTACAAGGCAATGGCTGGGTTCACCCATCACGCTAAGCCACTGTTTGCTTGGGTTGGGCTTAGCTGTTGTGTGAACCCAGCTAAACCAGTTGTGGTTTATTAAACCACCCATGGATACACAAACCGTGGCTTAGCCCAGTACATGAGCCACATCTAACTATCTCTCCTGCTGCATGCATTATTAACTCCAATTAATCTGCCTTATTTTTAAATCTCCAAAGGAGATTTGGAGCAGGCTGGAAGTTGGCGAACCTCTCTTTCTGCTGTTCTGCTGGCGGCATGGTGATGTTCTAAAACCAGCCCAGACTGCCAGACTTGCTTGCTTGCTTCTCCTTGGTTCAAATTGTGTTGCTAGGTCAATAATCTAGTTCTGAATGGACAAAAGGAAGTGTGATGAATGATATGATCATTCATCATGCTAATCCAAAGTTTCATTTCCCACCGTTGGTTAAATAATTATGGAAAAAGAACACTGTCTTTTTTCACATATTGCACTAAACCAATGTTTTTCAACCTTGGCAACACTTAA